ATACGAAGCATCTAGCACGGTTTATCCTGTACGTCGAAAATCCCTCAAGTCAATCCCCAACTTCGAATCCCTTTCGTTCATTCCAACGTCGATCCGCTCCGACGCGATATCGGTTCACGGTTCGATGACCACGTCGATTCTCCGCATCGGTTTCCACCCGTTCTTCCAGCGACAGTCTGACACGTGGTTGTTCGTCTCGTAGTGTCTCCGCAGATCGCGCCAATCTCCTTCGGCGACGAGCCCGTGAACGCCGGAGACTTGGTCTCGGTACAGTGCGTGGTGACCAAAGGCGACTCTCCTCTGGAGATCACCTGGACCTTCGATAGTCAACCGATAAGGTCCGATCGAATGGACGTGATCGTGTCTAACTCCGGGAAACGCGTGAAGCAACTGACCATCGAGTCCGTAGCTGCGAGACATGCCGGGGAGTACACCTGCGTCGCCTCGAATGCGGCTGGATCGACCTCGCACTCGGCCAAATTGGACGTCAACGGTACACGCTTCCTCGACGATACATGGACACCCTCACTTCCTTTCCCGACCATCGACTCCTACCCTCTCCTTCGCAATCAGCACTCGGCGTTTTTTTCGGTTGCCTTTGGTATCCCCTTTCGTTCGCTTCTGCTCGTGTCGGTGGTCCATCGCGCGAATTAGCTTGGTGCAAGGAACGAGACGCGAACAAACGCTTCCCGACGGGGAGCGGAGCGCACGACGATTCCGTGCGCAGTTTCAGTTCAGTTTTTCTATTTCCAGTCATTCCGAAATTATTGCCGTTCACGTTCGGCGAGAAACCGCTTAACTCGGGTCAAGTAGTAACGGTACCGTGCGCCGTGGTCGAGGGCGATCAACCCTTGAAGCTTCGCTGGACCTTAAACGGTCACGCGATCTCGCCCCACTCTGGAATCTCAATCGTGGATCTCGGCGGACGGGGCGCCATACTCAGCATAGGATCTGTCCAGGCGACGCACGCTGGAACGTACACGTGTATCGCGGAAAACCTTGCCGGAAGGCACGAGCTATCGGCCGATCTGATCGTCAACGGTGCTTAAAAAGATCTGCAACAGTGATCTTGCATATTAGATCTGCCGAAAAGTTCTGTCCACGTACGAAACTCGGATACCTCCTAATGGTACCCATTTTGGACTATACAGGTCCTGAGTGCTGAATGGTATCTGTTCAACGATACTCTATTCGCTTATTGTCTTTCACGTCTTTTTCGTTTAAATGTTTCGCGGAACATCGACTATTTAATCGAGGCTCACTCTCCTTTCCACTACAGCATTTATACCTTCCTCTGTATGCAGATTTTCATAATTATTTGATAATTCTCTTGTTGGAACTCGTAGTGGCATAAACGGACTTTGTCATCCGACATGTTTGCTCTGCTCTCATTTAGAACAGATTAATTAACCGAACACGAAACCGCAATTTACGTGGCACAAATCCTTAGCGAACACGATGTAGCAGTGCACATAACACGTAATGTAGGACACATCTGAAAGTGGAAAACAACAATGGCCATAATATGGACAGAACTTTGCGGTAAACCTAATAATTCGAACGTCACGCTATCTTTTTTCTTTATTTGCCTTGTCCCTTTGAAAATCTTCTGTTGTCCCGAGCCAGTAGTTCTCCTTGCTTGAGTAACATTCGGATCTCCTCTTTTTTGTTGCGCTCTGTTTGACGTTTCTTTATTTCTGCGGGGGCAAATTTACCGTTGCGTACAAGAAATCGATGAGCAGGGCATCCGTCTTCGATTCGGTCAGAGTCGAACCGTGTCGAATGAAGTCGCGTCTACCCTGGCAAACGAATTGTCCGTCTAATTTTTAACCCTTGTTCCCTCTGCTATTATCTGTGCCTGACTCTAGAGTCTGTCTCTATCTCTCGGCAGTCGCTCCGCATCTGCAGCCGTTCTCGTTCGACGAGGCCAACTCCGGCGATCTGATAATCGTCCATTGCGCGGTCGTTAAGGGGGACACGCCGATTTCGCTCAAGTGGTTGTTCGAGGGACGCCATTTAGAAGTAGGCGACGGAGTGGGTATCACCGCGTTGGGGGATAGAGTGTCCGCTCTGACGATCCCTGCCGTCAGGGGAGAACACGCCGGAGAATATGCTTGCGTCGCCGATAATCCAGCCGGTCGTGCTAGGCACAGCGCCCATCTCAAAGTGAACGGTACAGAAACGAGATCATATCATGTAATCGTCGCAAACGAATATAAAAAAGAAAAGAAAACGCCACGCGGTGTATAGAAAGAATTTGTTGAAAATCGGCATGATTTGTCCAGGCGTGCAACGCGTAGTCCTTGTGCCATCGATCAATACGTTGTTGTGAGATCGGCGAACGAACGCGATATATTTGACTGAATCGTTCGTGTGACACTTGGTAGCTCGAGTAGTAGTCGTGTAAGGTTTGAAACGGCGAACGAACTGCGTCTCTACTGTCTGTTGTTGATTGTTGTAATAGCATATTATTGAATATGTTTATTTTGGAAGTCTGCATTTGCCCGACTGTCCATCTTTCTTTCTTACATATAATTATCTTCCCGCATATCGTTTGTTTCGAAGCATCATCGTTTAGGTAGGTCGCTCGGCCGAGTGTAGTTGTTGGACCGCAGTCCCACTCTCGTTAATCCTTGGGCTACCATCATCAAAGGTAATTTGTCCTTAGTTCAGGACGAGTTAAACTCCCTCTCCTTCCTTTCGTTCACTTTTCTTTTCTCTCGTGCTCTTTCACGCGCTTCCATTGACGTAACTAGATAGGGACCAGGGTAGGTTTCTCCTTGCACGTAAAATCTTTCTTTAGAAATCTTCAAAATCACAAACACCCTGATTTTCATCCGAGAAACGTCGCCAGGGGACCACCCTGGACCACGATCTTAGTTACGCCAGTGCCACGTCCCCGTACGCGTACACACACTTCTCTCGTGCTTTCTCTGTCTCTGTCTCTCTTTCCAAATCCTCTTCGTCCTTCTCGAAACGATTCGCAGAGAGAGATGTATTCGTCGGGACGTTAATAAAACGAAGTATGTGCGCGACCCGTGATAACCGGAGACACGTAAAGTAGGTTTGGAGCCAGAAAGGGGAGGACCCAGTGTTTCTCGTGAGAAGCAACGAACCGACAACGTACACGAACACGATGATTGACCAGTGTACCATGAAGGGATGGACAAAAGGATCGCAAAAGGAACATCCATGTACCTATCCGTGGATTTAGCTCGAGCCTATCATTCCAGTCTTACCACGGATCAGTCCGTTCGATTTTGGGGATCAACCGATCTATGAGGGACAAGCAGCCCAATTGGCGTGCATGGTGCTGGTGGGTGACACCCCCATCAATATTACCTGGACGCACGAGGACCAGCCATTGTCGCAATTCATGGGATACAGCATCGGGAAACTCGGCCCACGGACAAGTCTTTTGCTGATCGAGCCGGTTACACCGGAGCACTCTGGACGTTACACGTGTATCGCTAGTAATCCGTCCGGCAGGACGATCCACGAGGCGACATTGCGAGTTCACGGTTAGGGCCAGACTAATGGGAGCATTGAATGATGATAATGATTGAACGATGATTGAATAATACGGAATGAAAGCAACCACGCCGGACCCGTGAGAGTATTTGATTGCAGGCTTGATTGATGCATCTTCGTCGTTGCCGAAGCTGTCGTGTTCCCTTGGCGAAGCTTTCTGGATTTCATTTCTCAGCGGAAGAGTTTTTATATACACGACACACACACATGCAGTGCGTTGCTTTCGTCACCGGAGACGACATTCTTGCGCGCCGTTTCTCTCTCTCTCTCTCTTTTTCTGTCTTTTTACCATATTCTATATTTTGGTGAAATTGTATATAATTCTATCTTTGTTTATTTTTGCGTTTCTGGTTCCGCCTATGATTTTTCAGCCGAGTAACAGACGCAGAGTGAGCCCAAAGTCCCACACGTTTCTCCCGTCTCTCCCCTCAGCAAGTTGGTTGAGCTTGACCCGCATCGTATCTGTGGCTATAAGTACATATTTCGCCTAGTTTGATTTCCCTGTCTCGTTGTCATGCTCGTCGTCGCTGATCTCTTCGACGACACTTTTCGTTGGCTTTCCAGTTGATTTGGCCGCGACAACAGATCCAGGCACATGACAGGCTCATACACGTCACTTTTCGTTCTCATGCGCGATTCGCATCGCGTCACAATTACTCTCGATCATACAACTAGCAGTAATCGGTGGATCGTCGCGATTTTTTCAGAGCGATTCTCTTATGTAGGTCCTACGATCGAGCCGTGTCTCTCGTGATCACAAAGTTCGAGTGTCGATTTGTCATTATATTACCTCACTGTACCCCCGTCGCGTTACAACGTGTCCTTGTTCCAAGATGACCGACCGACCATCCAATCAACCCCTCAGAATCACCCCGTCCACCTGCACCCGATCACCTCGTATCCGTTTTTCACCTTCACCCCGACCCCCAATGCCTTTCACCACACGTCTCGCCTCGTTCATTTTTTACATGCATTCGTAGTGGTAGCTAAGATCTTTTTTAACACGCATGCTTCTTCCCTTGGACTAACTAACAATTAGACAGATCACTCTTTCTCAAGCGGTGCAGCATGATGGACCGTGCTCGAGTATCGTAGTACTCTTAGTTAGTGTCTTTCGCATGCGCGCTGTGAGCTCCTTCAGAGCCGCAACCGTGCTCTTCTCTACCATCTATCTGCCTGTTGACCTTCTTTCTGTTCGTGCAGTAGTCACCCGCATAATCATTCTTGAGTTCCTGCATGTACGAATTATCGCAGTGTTGTCGCAGTTGCGGGAGGGAGTCGCGTTTCGTTCAGCATGCCACGAAACTTACCGTCGCGATCTTCGGCTTCTTATCGAATATCGTACGAGAAATGTCCGCGGGTTTCAAATAATGCATCTCCGAAGATCACGATGCGACTGACTCCCGGTTTAACTGTTGATCGGTGAATGCCGACAGAACACTTTGAATAACCGTTCTCTTCTGCAACAGTACCTCCACGCTGGATTCTGGAACCGACCGATAAGGCATTCGCTCAGGGTTCTGATGCACGCGTTGAATGCAAAGCCGACGGTTTCCCCAAGCCTCAAGTCACCTGGAAGAGAGCAGCTGGTTAGTATTCTTACCTCTCGTCCACAATTTTATATATAATTTTATAAAATCATAATTATTACACCTTCGTTTACAGGGGATACACCGGGCGATTATACCGACTTGAAACTTAGCAACCCCGACATCAGCGTAGAGGATGGAACCCTGTCTATTAATAACATTCAAAAGACGAACGAAGGCTACTATCTTTGCGAAGCTGTTAACGGAATTGGCTCAGGACTCTCGGCTGTCATTCTCATTTCGGTTCAGGGTAAGTTCTCATCTGAGCATTTTTGCGAACGTTGCGAGTAATGTCTCTTCGATCACAGCTCCACCCCATTTCGAAATTACGCTGAGGAATCAGACTGCACGACGCGGAGAACCGGCTGTACTGCAATGCGAGGCTCAGGGTGAAAAACCGATTGGCATCTTATGGAACATGAACAACAAGAGACTGGACCCGAAGAGCGACTCTCGTTACACCATCCGCGAAGAAATTTTGGCTAATGGAGTACTGTCTGACCTGAGCATCAAGAGAACCGAGAGGAGCGATTCTGCACTGTTCACCTGCGTTGCCACTAATGCCTTTGGAAGCGACGACACTAGCATCAACATGGTTGTCCAAGGTTTGTATCTACTTCTGAACAATTCTCTATGATCGTCGGAATTCTAATCCGTGGAATTTTTATTGCAGAGGTTCCCGAAGTTCCATACGGCCTTAAAGTATTAGACAAATCCGGACGTTCGGTTCAGTTGTCCTGGGCAGCACCGTACGATGGAAACAGCCCGATCAAACGCTACATCATCGAATACAAGATCAGCAAAGGCTCCTGGGAAACTGACATTGACAGAGTACTGGTACCTGGAGCGCAACAGAACGTAGCTGGAGTTTTCAATCTGAGACCTGCCACCACTTATCATCTGAGAATCGTTGCTGAGAACGAAATTGGCGCATCTGACCCGTCTGATACCGTAACCATCATCACTGCCGAAGAAGCTCCAAGCGGCCCACCAACCTCCGTTCGAGTTGATGCTCTTGACCAACACACTCTTAAGGTACTGATTATGCTTCAGATAGATTCTAGGCTTGTAACGAAAATTACCGAGGGATTAAATGTGACAGGTAACATGGAAACCACCCCCACGCGAAGACTGGAACGGCGAGATTCTTGGCTACTACGTTGGATACAGACTCTCTTCTTCTGACAAACCATACATGTTCGAAACTGTGGACTTCTCGAAGGAGGACGGAAAAGAGCACCATTTGCAGATCATGAACTTGAAAACCTACACTCAGTACAGCGTTGTTGTTCAGGCATTCAATAAAGTTGGCTCAGGCCCAATGAGCGAGGAACGAAGACAACACACTGCCGAAGGAGTACCCGAACAGCCTCCTCATGACACAACCTGCACCACTCTTACCTCCCAGACGATCAGAGTTTCATGGATGTCGCCTCCTCTCAGCGCTGCCAACGGAGTTATCACTGGATACAAGGTTGATTACATCTCTGTACAGATTGACTGTTTCCTGTTTCTTCAGAAAGGCTCATAAGCGTGTTCCGTAGGTTATTTACGGACCATCTGACACCTGGTATGACGAGAACACGAAGGACACCAAGATCACATCCTCCAGCGAAACCATCTTACACGGACTGAAGAAATACACCAACTACAGCATGCAAGTTTTGGCTTTCACTTCCGGTGGCGATGGAGTCAAGTCCGCACCTATTCACTGCCAGACCGAACAGGATGGTAGGACTACAATTCGTGGAAAGATATTCGGGAGAAATTGTGCAGTCAGTTTGAATTTATGTCGTGCTTGTTCGCAGCCCCCGAAGCACCGATCGCTATCAAAGCTCTCGTTATGTCCGCTGAATCCATTCTTGTCTCATGGCGCCCACCAAGCCAACCCAACGGAGTGATCACCCAGTATACCGTTTACACCAAGGCAGACAACACAGAGGAACCGACTAGCCAAAAAGTACCACCGAACCAACTGACTCACGAGGCTTCTGGACTGGACAAACAACGCAGATATGACTTCTGGGTAACTGCCAGCACCAACATCGGCGAGGGAGAGGCTTCCAAGATTGTGGCTTTGGCACCGAGCGTTAGAGGTGCTTTGACTTCTGGTTATCCACAAATTTCTGGACTCTAGATCCATACAGTGTCTAAATCCCCGAACACTAGTATCAAATATGTCTAGCATTAAATTAATTACGTTCATTTGCAGTACCGGCTAAGATCGCTTCATTCGACGACAAATTCACGGCTACGTACAAGGAAGACGTCAAATTGCCCTGCCTTGCTGTCGGCGTACCCGCACCGGAAGTAACATGGAAAGTCCGAGGCGCCGTTCTCCAACCGAGCGACAGACTGCGACAATTGCCCGAAGGATCTCTGTTTATCAAGGAAGTTGACCGTACAGATGCTGGCGAATACTCTTGCTACGTTGAAAACTCGTTCGGCCATGACACCGTAACTCACCAACTCATCGTCCATGGTGAGTTTCACGCGATGCAGTTTCAAAGAAGAAAGTTATCGGAATCTCGTGTCGTTTTGTAGCTCCTCCGCATTCACCGCAAGTCACCCTCACTGCTACCACCACCAACTCGCTGACCATGAAACTGAGACCTCACCCCACCGACAACGCCCCCATCCACGGATACACCATTCACTACAAACCGGAATTCGGCGACTGGGAAACCGCTCAGATCAGTTCCACGGCTCAGAAATACACTTTAGAAAACTTATGGTGTGGCTCCCGATATCAGATCTACGTTACCGCATACAACGGGTAATGATTTGCGACTTCTGGCACGAAGCGAAGCCGGTGCATTCGTAATTGTTTGATTTGATAATCCAGAATTGGCACTGGCGATCCTTCTGACATGCTCAACACCCGTACCAAAGGCTCCAAACCGATCATCCCCGAAGCTGCAAGGTTCATCGAAGTCTCTACTAACAGCATTACCCTTCACTTGAGCGCCTGGTCCGATGGTGGTTGCCCCATGCTCTACTTCGTCGTCGAACACAAGAAGAAGTAAGAGAAAAATATTCTGAAAGATGAAACCCTTCGGCGATTATCCTCTTTAAGATTTATATAGCGACTCTGGTAACAATGGTTACACCTGATTGTTTGAACAGGCACCAACAGGAATGGAATCAGGTATCGAACAACGTGAAACCCGGCGGAAACTTTGTCGTTCTGGATCTGGACCCTGCTACCTGGTATCATCTTCGCGTGACAGCTCACAACAACGCCGGTTTCGCCGTAGCTGAATACGAGTTTGCTACACTGACCGTGACTGGAGGTAAGTATGAGGCAATTAAAGAAGCAGCGGCACTCATGGCCGGTGCTAATGGTGGCCTGGATTGAATGGTCGCCATGATTTTTTGTTCCAGGCACCATTGCACCGGCCCGAGAGCTGCCTGACGTAAACGGTGGTGGCAACGACGAGGATCCGATGAAAATTTTCATGGCTAATTTGAATCTGGTCGTACCCGTGGTAGCAGCTATTCTCGTTATAATCGTTGCCGTCATCGTGATCTGCGTTCTCAGAGGAAAGGGCCATGGTAGCGATAAAGGTAATTGTGATCTTCTTCTTCTTTGTTACCGTTTCGACGTGTAGGTACGATCGCACCCCCTGTACGTAACGGTGGTAACGAGAACACGGACGTCAGACGTTATTTCCCTTGGCTACCCAGCTGGCTCGACGTGAACGTTGTGGTACCGGTCGGAGCTACCGTTGTCGTCATTATCGTGGGAATTGTGGTCATTTGTGTCGCGTTGTCCAGGAGAACTCGAGGCCCGGAACAAACACGGCTGCGAGGTATCTCATCAGCCGACGAGAAATATTACGAAGGACAATGTATAGCAATTTTTTTTTATTATTTTAACTTGCTAAGATTACGATCATGGAAGCTTGTCAGAAGGTTCATCATTCTGCTACTAAATCATGAAGGATTGTTACAGAATGTTATTGTGAACGTATCGTTAACGACAAATGCAATTGCGCCTTCAAGGGTATGATATCGAGATGTCCTACTTTTGTCAAATGTTTCAAGTGTCACACTTACTACTCTATCCTTCGTTTCACATACAGAGCATCTTTCTGACAATCGATCCACGCCCTACGTTTACAAAATCCTCTTTCGTAGGTGCCGGTGGACCAACGACACAATCAAGCACGAAACAATCGGCATTGATCCCTGTCTCATAAATATGCCATGATCGGTTTTTAGATGACGTGGTATACCAGCAAACCGGAGTCGGCGGAGCTACTCTCGACAAACGCAGACCCGACCTTCGTGACGAACTTGGATACATCGCACCACCGAACCGCAAGTTACCCCCTGTTCCTGGATCCAACTATAACACCTGCGATCGCATCAAGCGAGGTACAGTTATAAGTAAGCCACAACTGCCAACAATTATGATTTCTAGCTAAATTCCAATTGTCTAGATGTTGTCGCATCGGCACGATAGTATTACCGTTATTTCTTCTTTCGTTTTTTACATACGTGACACACAAGTCGGATGTCGCACAAGGAACACGATTAGATTATCACGATCATGAGCCAGAATCTACAAGATTGATAGGTCGTACAATGCACGTACATTCAGACACAATCTCATTACATAGACAGATATACACGCGTTCATCATAGTTATTGCCAGTTGTTTCGTTGTTTGCCTCGCTTCAAATTCTTTTCTTTTTTATCGTAACCGAGATGTATGCCCTACGGGAACCGGACATTCTCCTCCCTTATTTACGCTATGCGTTGCTGCGCGTACCAAGATCGAGTAAGAACCTCTCTATCCACCGACAAGCCCGTCAATCGTCAAAGAAAAAATCGACCGGATATGGCAGCGAGCCAAATCCGAATATCGGTAAGCGTCAGTCAGTCGTACGACCTTTGTAGTATATGTTCGATAGGTGGAACAGGCTCGATAAGGAGCCACTCGACCTGGGATCCCAGACGACATATGTACGAAGAATTGAATCATTGCGCGCCGAACCGAAGATGTCCACCGCCACCACGTATGGGCAGTGCCGAAGCATTATCCCACAGAGGTTGGTAAACAGAAAGTAGTTCAAGACACGAAGCGTGCTCTTCCTACTTCGTGTCCTTCGTCTATCGCGTCACTACGAATGACTAACCCGCGGCCGGTGCAGCTGTCGGCTGCCTGCAGTCAGTCTTCGTAAGTCCTCTATCGTCCGTGGTTCTCACCGTGCTGGTACCTGTCCTTCCTCTTAATGTTGCACGTCTTCGCATGCTTGCGCTGATGCCCTTTTATTTCGCAAACACGAGGCACTCACAGGCACACTTCTTTCGATTCTTGCCACTTTGTCGGTAGGACCAGCCCACTCGCGTTTCTGGGTCGAAGATATTTGTTGAAGGTGTGTGAGACGAGCTTCACTGAATTTCGAATTTGAGAATAAAGTTCAGAGTAAAGTCTTCAACGGATACCTTCAGTGTCTGACTACAGAACGAGTGGTCGATGGTGCAAGACACTAATAAGCATGACTTCTATAAACCTTCGCGAAGAGTAAGAGCGAGGAAAGGAAACGTAGGAATGCGAAACGTAGGTACCTGACTACTTTGAAGATGTCTGCATGAGAACAGTCATCCATGGAGTATCGTCCCTTGAAAGGCAAACGACGCCTACAGTGTCCTCGACCCATAGTCTTGTACAATAATAGATTAGTTTGATTAGATACATAATGGCAGTGTCTACCCTCGGTAATCCTTTTTTTCAGGTATGGAGGATGAGATCTGCCCGTACGCTACTTTCCACCTTCTTGGATTCCGCGAAGAAATGGACCCCAGCAAGGCTATGCAATTCCAGACATTCCCTCACCCCGGAAACGGACACTCTGGCACCATGGGACCACCTGTTGGACATCCTACCAATGCCTCTGCCCATAGCCGTTCTGGATCTCAGTCTATGGTACCCTTACCGTTTTTCCTATCTAAACACTCTAACTTCCAAGTTTTATCATTTCTGTCGCTTCATTTTAGCCCCGTCAAAATGGACGCTACTCCCGAGTACCATCACAAGGAGGCGGCAGCGGAACCCACAACGTTTTCTCTCCCGAATACGACGACCCAGCTAACTGCGCACCGGAAGAAGACCAATACGGCTCCCAATACGGACAATATGGCGCTCCCTATGACCATTACGGATCTCGTGGCTCTGTCGGACGTCGCAGCGTAGGATCGGCCCGCAACATCCCCGTCTCTGGATCACCGGAACCACCACCACCACCACCAAGGAACCACGACCAGAACAACTCCAGCTTCAACGACAGCAAGGAAAGCAACGAGATCAGCGAGGCAGAATGTGATCGCGACCAACTTGTGAACCGCAACTACGGCGGTCAGTACAAAGAACTGTAATCGAATAGGGGACGAAACGGTCGGATCGTGAACAGCAGTCGATGCACGATCGGAGATACTACTCGTTTATCTCTGGGTTTACGTGTTGCTGCAAATTGCGCTGACTTCCTAGTATCAAACATGGTCACCAATTAGCGATTTGTAGGTGTTCGATTTTCAGGAAGAGGGATGTCCTTAGGTCCTACATTCTTCGTTTCAGATTAGTTCTTTGGACTTCTCCTTGAACACAGACTATCCTTTCTCTCCCAAAGTTCCAATGTTCCAGAAATTCGAAAGTTATGAAAGTTTGTACAAATTGCACACGCGCGTAAATCCAGGCTACGAGGGTATCGATCGATGATCTCCGTTGGGGCAGATGTATCCGCCATTTTGGTCTCCTGTCGTTGCTCGTTCTTACACAGTAGACGATAATAGGCATGCCGAGCGAGTCACGAGGTACACGAATGAACGGGACTCGCTGCGGAGTCTGTGTATTCTAATCGTAATTAGCCTCAACGAATTTGCATGCTACGTGTCGTCGTAGTAGTTTACCGTTGTGTCAATCGTGCCGTGTGTTTTTCTATTTCAGTGAATGCTCGCGGCAAGGACGGCATGACCACCGAGGAGATGCGTAAACTCATAGAGAGGTCAGTAGAGATCGAGTGAGTTTGGTTAAAACGGTGCAACCGATTCAATCGTCACCGTCTCATGCCGCTGTGTCTCGAGCGATTTCTTGCCTCGAGAATTGTCATTGACTTTCTCGAAAGTAAATTGGCCCGAGTTTTCTATCCCCAAATTACTCGCTTCGACTTCTCGTCGTACACGGACGAGAGTCATTCATTCTCGACTCTACGCATTCTTTGCTAGACCTGCTCTCTATTACGCGTAAATTATTCTCTATCCAACGATTGGTACATGCTATCGGTGTCTCATGGACGTTCCAAAAAAATACGAAAACAAAAACTAAAGTATCGTAGTGGCGATCGAGTGCACGGTGGTGTCCGCTAAAAGAACTCCAGTACAATCCTCCTTGACAATCTGTTTTAACGTATCTCTGACTTTTTTCTTGTTTCATGGCTCTTTACGCAGGAAGCCGTAAGTTCGTTAAGACAATTAAACCGTAATTACCATGGAGGATGCATTCTTGTAACGATAATCGCGTTAGAGCGTGATTTTCGAAAGGCTTTAGAACGTTGCGTTTAACTTTGTTCCTTAGCTAGTTTTGTTTTGTGGCCAAGAGAATAGGTCAGTCAATGCTTCGACAGCGTCGCTTTCATACCAACGACAATCAGATCTCTACCTGGGTCGAAAAAAAGACAAAAACCGCTTTTACCATGTCAACGTGTGTTTGCATGCGGTCATGGTGACAACCGTCACTCGTGATACTTGTGTAGTTAACGCTAATCCTTTTTTTGTTTACCAGCCGATGCCAAACGGTATACGATCCGATCGTTGCCAGTTCATTTGTTTCCGCTACAGCTGTTGCTCCTGTCGTTGCTACAGATACTGCTGCCATTGCTGCTGGTGCTACTAATTTTAACCGCCGCTATTAATACATTTCCATCATCGTATCTAAGTAATGCAAAGATTCGCGGTGTCACTAACGTGTCCGCGAGTCGCAGCTAATGCATGCGTTGCCGAATCATCTTCATTTCATCAGTTGTTTTAATCGCTATACTTTAGATGCGTTGTAATCATCATTATTAGCAATCATTACCATTATGCTCGCCGAGCATAACGTATAAAGGTGATACGAGAAAAGGATTCAGAGCTTTGGACCTACATTTGTCCACTGCTAAATTAAAAATGTTCAAGTTCTGAACCCTTTTCCTATCCTACGTAACCAGGGTACTAATGTATCGTTGGGGGAGTTGGTGATAACACAGTACGAGGAGGAGGATTAAAATCGTAACTTGTTTGTTACAGAAACGAAGCCCCCGGCCGGCAAACCGGCGCCGGCCACGGCGGTCACGGGGGACTCCTCACACCCTACGATACTGTGGCAGTGTAACCTGTAAATCATCTTCCGTGGTCTTCCGTCTCTCTCGTCGATAGCGGCCGAAAAAGACTCGAGAGAAGCGGAAAGAGTGCGCACGCTAACTCTTCCCCCGGTGCTGTCGTCGGTCCAATTTGCAACGATTAATCATATTAGAAAAATCACCATCGTCGCGAGTAGGTAGTCAACGGTCCATCTCACACGGTGTACACCTCGTCGAACGTAGGCCACGCGGTCCACGCAACCGTCCACGGCATCCTTATCTTCTGAATCGAGAAAGAGGACCCTTCTCTTCGTCTTCGACCATATCGTTTTTCTCTCCATTTTTTACGGCCTTTCTCTATTTCGATCTCGTGTTTTTCTTCGATGTTCGATCGCTCACACGTTCTTGCTCAATTACCAACAAGGCCAGATCGCGATACTGCCAAATTCATTGACTGCCGTTCTAGACGAGGGGAACAACTATTGTTCGCGAGGCAAGGGATATCGTGCGGTTGCGCGAGAAAGTGGACGACGGCGAACGAGACACACACCGTTTGAAAGGCGAACACACCCGGCATGTTCGCGTGGACGTTGAAAACGCGACAGAAACAATTATCCGGCCCGCGACGCGTGCTCTCGGCGACGGTAAATTTCACGGGGGTCTTTTGGCGAGATGTATCCTAGGTTACAATTGTCGCTTCCAATTGTCGAGCCCACGAGTCACGGGAAGTACACACGAGATACATTAGTTACTCGCTTTTTAAGTCATGGTTGTGCCACACTGCCCTACCCGGCAGGCATATGATATTATACATACATACATACACGTATTAATGATACTATACATATATACGATTTATAATTTCGTAACGAAGGTTGTGTCCCCGCCCCCTATCACCTACCCCCTATTTTTGCTGATCGACGATCTTGGAGTCTCGACGTCGCGGAGAGCAATTTCTAAGGAGCACTGTATTTGCGACGGTGTCGCAGAGAGTGCGTCGTCGTTGTTGTCGTCGTTCTTTAGCAGTAGTCGGACAACGAGTCACATCGATGCCGTGGTGGCGTTTTAATTAGAAAAGCACCCTCGAAATTTGACGAAAACACCGATTGACTGATCCGTAGGAAGAACAACGCGGCACGTTCTATCGCAGAGACATACGATTTCAGCCGACCACATCATTCGATACGTTAGAGAAAAACAGAAATGATTATGAACGTAAGCACACGTACATGTGACATACATACGAATACACCACGCTCGCTGTCGATTTTTAATCCTCCTATATGATATTTAGTCCGCAATACACACGTACATACACACACATTTACATATATTCGCAAGCTATTCTTGATCAATTATGAATGTATTCTTGGGGGTAAGGTAGGCTCTTTTGGACGAGGGTGAGTTTAACGGGAGCAGTCTCGACTTGTTCTCAATCTCGAGGGATTAAGTGGATCACTAATATCCGCTTTCCCGAAATTATTGAGTTGAAAAATTCCAAAAATTCTGTTTGAAAATTGCTTTCCTAATCAAAAACGAACGAGTGACTTGTTCCCTACGTTGCCATCTTCTCCGGGGAAGTCCACCCTGCTCTCCAGTGTGCATACGTGAATTTAACGATACATGCGACGATGATATTATACGTGTAAGCAATTCGAGCAACAAGTACCGATTTAAACGTAAGTAGGTTATAAGATGGACGGATGGTCGCGAGGAGCGCCGTTTCCTCTTTCGTTGAACGGCGATGACGTCGAGCGTAGGAAAAATATTAAAATTCTCGCCCAACAATTACTAGAATCGCGTTTAGTATTCGAATTAGGGGAAAAAGATTGATACTAAGATGTTCGAACGTTTAAATCTATGGCTCGAAGTCTGCCAGGAAACGGTCACGGCGCGTAACTCATAGTTCGTTTTTATTACAACACTATTTAGATAACGTCGCGGAGAGCAATTTCTAAGGAGCACTGTATTTGCGACGGTGTCGCAGAGAGTGCGTCGTCGTTGTTGTCGTCGTTCTTTAGCAGTAGTCGGACAACGAGTCACATCGATGCCGTGGTGGCGTTTTAATTAGAAAAGCACCCTCGAAATTTGACGAAAACACCGATTGACTGATCCGTAGGAAGAACAACGCGGCACGTTCTATCGCAGAGACATACGATTTCAGCCGACCACATCATTCGATACGTTAGAGAAAAACAGAAATGATTATGAACGTAAGCACACGTACATGTGACATACATACGAATACACCACGCTCGCTGTCGATTTTTAATCCTCCTATATGATATTTAGTCCGCAATACACACGTACATACACACACATTTACATATATTCGCAAGCTATTCTTGATCAATTATGAATGTATTCTTGGGGGTAAGGTAGGCTCTTTTGGACGAGGGTGAGTTTAACGGGAGCAGTCTCGACTTGTTCTCAATCTCGAGGGATTAAGTGGATCACTAATATCCGCTTTCCCGAAATTATTGAGTTGAAAAATTCCAAAAATTCTGTTTGAAAATTGCTTTCCTAATCAAAAACGAACGAGTGACTTGTTCCCTACGTTGCCATCTTCTCCGGGGAAGTCCACCCTGCTCTCCAGTGTGCATACGTGAATTTAACGATACATGCGACGATGATATTATACGTGTAAGCAATTCGAGCAACAAGTACCGATTTAAACGTAAGTAGGTTATAAGATGGACGGATGGTCGCGAGGAGCGCCGTTTCCTCTTTCGTTGAACGGCGATGACGTCGAGCGTAGGAAAAATATTAAAATTCTCGCCCAACAATTACTAGAATCGCGTTTAGTATTCGAATTAGGGGAAAAAGATTGATACTAAGATGTTCGAACGTTTAAATCTATGGCTCGAAGTCTGCCAGGAAACGGTCACGGCGCGTAACTCATAGTTCGTTTTTATTACAACACTATTTAGATATACGGAAATATATAAATATATAAATAAATAAATATATATATATATATATTGACGTTCATATACAGTACGTTGTAAGTAAGTAGGTATGTCTAGGTGTCGCATTTATTTGCTGAGGCGATGCACGAGTGGTACACCAGTTGAGAGTTCACGGTCGAAGAATACCTCGTTGTAGACGATGAGGTAGTGCCGGGTTACTTTGGCCGTGGAACACGAATAGTTTTTTCATTTCTCTCTCTTCCCAATTTTATCCTTTTTGTATCGCTGGCTGCGACTCCGCTCGCCAAAGCATTTTTTACTCATCGATGTGATTTTAAAGGCTGCGCAAAGTCTCGTGTCTCGTGTATGTGTTACGATCGCGCTCTACCACAATTAAATGTAGCCATATCCAAGTCACCTTTTAACAATGTATATCACGTTTTACTCACGTAACGCTCGCGGAGCTTTTCGCTTTGAAGCTTTGAAACTTAACGCGATGAAAGAGAATTCGACGAAAATATTTAACTTATTCCAATATTAACCGCTACGATCGATTTCGCGTGCGCCTCCGGTTCGCACGTGAGCGTCGATATTTAATAAAAATAAGAAAAAAAAAAACGTGATTAACCGCGAATTATCTCGCAATTTTTCATTTATCATCGATTGGAAACTCGTTCGTCGTTATATGGATTTTGTGTGATCGATCTGGTATCGTTTCTCTCTTCGCAAGGTTTTGATGTTATTCTTTTTCGAACGATGCTGTGAAACGGTCGGTATGTAATCACCGTCCACGTTATACCTATAATATTATGCTTTGTTCCATGGAAATATTGGATGTTCGTTTCGTGCAACAACGGGGCGGTTCTTCGAGCTTCTTCGGCGGGGCGCGTATCGTTTGATCTGTTTTAAGTTCGCAAGCAGACTCGGGACATTTCGTAATTAGTAAACTTCTGTGTTGCGCTCAGTGCTCGCCTTTAAATTGGCTGTAAGTTTGCATTCTCGTACAACGATACTCGTATTTCTCCGCGTTCGTAGGGACTCGAGGATCCGCTTGCAGTACACCGTTTCCTCAGTACCACTATTTTATGTTTTTGTACCAAAGTCATAGCGTCTAACTTTACGTTAAATAAATAAAACCAAAAAAAACATTTGCTTGTTTGTCAATTTTTTTCCTCAATTTTATTGAATAATCCTTAATAAAATATTAAAATGCTAACTGAAATCGTTTTTGTGTTTGGATCTATATTCTCTTACCTGCGAGATCAATTCTTGCTTAAATATTAAGCGACAATAAATATCTGATGAAATTCAGTTGACCTCAAAAATTTTCCAATGCATAATTTGTTATATTACGAAAGCAACGCAGTAAACATTTATAATTCAAATGTTTTTTCAAAGTTTAATGACGATACCGCGCTCACCACTACATGTATACATGGTAATATTTGAATAGTGTTCGTGCAGTGATAAGTTGTGGTAGTTGGTAGCATCATTTGTTCACACGATGGCGTCCGGCGGTGGTATGTACCGTTTATTTTGCTTTTTATTATTTAGCAAGTAACGTTAAGCAATGACTTATGAATAAAGGATCGTTATAATAACGATGTTGTCCAATTTATGATTCTTGTGACGCCAGAAAATACGACAGAAGAAAGAACCGAGCCAACAACTCCGGCACAACCCCTCACCAATGTTGTGAGTGAAACAGCGCACGTAAGTCAGATAACCTATAAACTTCGTTGTTAACTGTTACACTATTCGTTTCTCTTTGTTTTATAGATAATACTCGAAATTTGTATGCTCTAATAACAATCGCAAATTCCTACAATATTAGCTACGATTTTCGTAGATCAATATTTTCAATGTTTTGTTAGGTTAATAAATTTCAATATTTCCCGCCAATCCGATGACAGCTGTTACGCTAAAATTTGTTTATATTTGAAGTTATATCACAAGAATGTGTCGTTTGCACGATTAGGTTAACGTATCTTCTTATTTTATATTTCAAATTCAAATACTTTGAATTTAATCAAAAACCATTTGTTACTGCATTGTCTGAACACCTCAAAATGTATTCAACTGTGTGTGAACTTCTCAAACAAATATATAAAAATATTTGTTTGAATCCTAATTGGGGTCTTTTTAAAGCCATTTATTACATTTATAGTTTGTAAAGACACGTTAAGTAAATGAAAGATAACTTAAGTGAATACCGGTCTATTGTTACATTATGTACGGGATATAATAAAGAATATAATAGATAGCTTAAGGAGGACCTCGATTTGATTAAAAATTATGTCAGTATTAATGTGTCATTCAATTTGTTGTTACAGAGGATACTAGCAATGAATAAGGACTCTGACCTGTCTGGTGTACCTCCAAAGAAATCTCGTGTCGAGGTGCAATCTCTACCAACGAGACAATACTTGGATCAAACCGTAGTTCCAATTTTGTTACAAGCGCTGTCAACATTAGCTAAGGAGAGACCCGCTGACCCCATCAGCTTTTTAGCTGGATATTTGTTAAGGAACAAGAGCCAATATGACAATGGTGAATCACCGCCAACTAGTCAATGAACTGCCTATCGATTTTTAAGTATGTGATGGAAATTCGATAAATTGTTTATGAACATTTACTGACTTTTTATAGACACTTATTGACATAGGGATATATTTGAATTGGGCAAGGTGCATCCGTGTAATTTCAAATTGAATAAAAATGTATTAGCTTTTTATCATGCGACGGTTCTTTCAATGGTTCAAGCGCAGTAATATAAGTTACCACTAATGTTCATTTTTGTATCTATCTAATCAATTCTTTACGATTGCTTCCCTCTTTCCATTGTGTGTGTATGCAGATAATTCAAATTTGTACAGGTTAACCATGTTACAAAGACATTAAATATTTTCAATAGTTCAAATCTGAAACAATTTCTTTCTCTCTGAAATCCTGAACAGAATTATTTCCTGTTATCCACGTTTTCGCATCATCGTGAAAAACGAGGATCGTTATCGCTGGTTCAATAAATCGTAATGTCTCCTGTGTTCGTGTCGATTTTAATTGGACAACTTAATTGGATCCAATTGAACGTAATTGGTCAACGAATTGTCACAAAATGTATTTTACACTCCGATAAATTCACTAATTTACGTATATACAGCCTACAAACGCGCACTTTGAATTTATCTCGCAACTGCGTTGATAGTTTAGCGTTCAAATTTGCCTAATTTTTCGCGTACAAGAGTCTAACCGGATATTAGTCCGGTTGCTGAATCGTTGAGCATGGTGTGAACGATTTAACTGCGTTGGTAGATTGTAACAGTTTCACAGAAAGAATATTCGTGCACAGTCGAGATAATACTGTTGCATTGTATAAAAGGACGACGAGGAGATATCGGGTAATTTCATAGAGAACAATTGGCGCGGTAGCTTCATCGTACCGAGTCCAATTAACGAGGTCTCTTTTGTATACCGCCTTGGCTACTTGCTAGTATTGTAACCGTACATTTTCCGCAAACTCCCTATTACTCTTATCTTTTTACTTATTACGCTGCGTTTTCTAGATACAATTGTCTCTAGCGATATACGATTTTATGTATATTTAGCGAAATTAGAGAGCATAGGCAAATTGTAATTCTTCGCGCGCTTTTTCATTTATAGCGCCGTCAAATATCGGTACTCCTTACGTATGGCGGTTTTTTTGAATCAGAACGTTTTCAAAATTTATCCTAATTAAACTTGTTTATAGAATGAAGTACTTTTAGAGAGTTTGAGAGTTTGCAAAGCAAGTTTACAAGAGTATAATTAACGTATTTATGTATCAAGTATTATAATAAGAATCAAGTATTATAATATGTTTTTAGCAACTTTACTGTACGTGCAAAGTACTCGGTAACATTTAAAGTTATTTTTTCAGAATTGTTTCGGGAGAGCACTATTTTTGCATCGAGCAGTAATTTTGACTTGGCCGTGACAGCATATAGCAGTTAGCGCGCTCTACACGCACAAAGAAGAACGAGCAGCAAGTAAACTGAGGCGGGTAGTTAATGGGTAAACCGTGTCACGGCTTTCGTCGTGCGCGTACAATCTGCAGATTCACGCTCGTACGGCCACACGATATACAGTGCCTCGGTTCAATTGGCACGCATATTGGAATTCTATTAGCGAGATTACCGACAGTAATTGCTCGGTTTCGCGCAATATCGCACCGCTCGTCTGTGCCCAGCCAGGCCAACAGGCTAGCGAGCGTCAAACGCGGATTAAACGCGCGTCTTGATTCGCGGTCGAAGCAAGACAAGGTACATTATGTTGTCGGTCGTGGCTGTGTTGCGGCGTAGTCGCAGCAGGGTCCCGGAAATCGTGTTGGAATGCACCATGAATTGCGAGTTTGAATATGCACGGCTACATTAGCCCGGACGAGAGCCCAGTCAAAGGATTCAGAGACGTTCGACTGAAATTACTCGAGGGTCGTTTCGACCGGGCGTCTACCGTCGGTTTCGCGCCGTTCCTCTCTGAAAATCTAATCGAAAGTTCCTACGAGCTAGGAAATGAAAGTTGAACGCGGCCAGGGAAGGACGGGAATGAAAAAATAAAAAGAAAACTGTACACCATGAAAGTAACGTGTTTCGTTTGCGAAAGAAACGAAACTTTCATCCAAGTTCCCGCAGCGATCTTGGAGGGTGGTAAATGCGAGATTTTTCGAAATTCCTCTCTTCGAACACACTTTGAGTAACATCAAATTTTTCGTCATAACTGGAAACTCTAGTACAACTTTTTTATCTCTCTTTGCTTGTTCGTGGTGGAGTCGAGGGAAAAAACGCTTACTAGGCAGATTCGCGCGAGAGCTAAAGCCCTCTTTTCTCTCATATTTTTTGCCATGCTAAAATTCTATCTGATAGCCAGAAAGTTTTTTCGCTTTCCTTTTTCCTCTCACTCTCTTGCTTTCTCTGTTGTAATTTTCTTTTTCTTTATTATTCATGTTTCATTTTGTTCGCGAAAGATGATACCTGCAGCCATTGGCGTAACTAGGTAGGGGTTCTTTGCTGAATACGGGGATGTAACGTGTGCCGGTATAATGAGTGGAAATACAACTCGTATAACACGTACAAAATATAGTGCACACGTTAGATGCGAGATTAGCACGTGGCCGACCTAAGAGCGATCCGTCCTGGACAAAAATTCTGATGAAACTTGCAGACTGAACGTTGCACGGACGTTTCGCTTCAGCGTTTATTAAACGTATCTGTACCGAAAGTAGCGAAGCACGTTTGCAATATAAAATCGTTAATTAAATATCGAAACGTTTGCAGCTGCAAATTAAAAGCCTCCCCTTCTCTCTTTCTTTTGATGACGAGAGAGCATATTCAGCTCGAAAATGAAATTCGTAATTCGGTCACGTTGCAGTCGGACGTTTTAATCAGCCTGACGGAACGCTTGAAATCCGTGAAGGAACGGCTCTTTCTTCTATCGTTTCTGCCCCTCCGCTCTTCCGCCAGGTCTCTTCTCCTCTTTCTGAATTATCTTGCGGTTCCTTGCTCGCGGGGACACAGATTTTCATTTCAGATCTGGCTCCGGTACAGTGCAGAGGAGAAAATAGAAGTCGCTTCCCGTTGATTTCAATCTGTTTGACGGTACTCCGCTCGGTCTTTCTCGCTTTCAGAGACGTTCGACTGAAATTACTCGAGGGTCGTTTCGACCGGGCGTCTACCGTCGGTTTCGCGCCGTTCCTCTCTGAAAATCTAATCGAAAGTTCCTACGAGCTAGGAAATGAAAGTTGAACGCGGCCAGGGAAGGACGGGAATGAAAAAATAAAAAGAAAACTGTACACCATGAAAGTAACGTGTTTCGTTTGCGAAAGAAACGAAACTTTCATCCAAGTTCCCGCAGCGATCTTGGAGGGTGGTAAATGCGAGATTTTTCGAAATTCCTCTCTTCGAACACACTTTGAGTAACATCAAATTTTTCGTCATAACTGGAAACTCTAGTACAACTTTTTTATCTCTCTTTGCTTGTTCGTGGTGGAGTCGAGGGAAAAAACGCTTACTAGGCAGATTCGCGCGAGAGCTAAAGCCCTCTTTTCTCTCATATTTTTTGCCATGCTAAAATTCTATCTGATAGCCAGAAAGTTTTTTCGCTTTCCTTTTTCCTCTCACTCTCTTGCTTTCTCTGTTGTAATTTTCTTTTTCTTTATTATTCATGTTTCATTTTGTTCGCGAAAGATGATACCTGCAGCCATTGGCGTAACTAGGTAGGGGTTCTTTGCTGAATACGGGGATGTAACGTGTGCCGGTATAATGAGTGGAAATACAACTCGTATAACACGTACAAAATATAGTGCACACGTTAGATGCGAGATTAGCACGTGGCCGACCTAAGAGCGATCCGTCCTGGACAAAAATTCTGATGAAACTTGCAGACTGAACGTTGCACGGACGTTTCGCTTCAGCGTTTATTAAACGTATCTGTACCGAAAGTAGCGAAGCACGTTTGCAATATAAAATCGTTAATTAAATATCGAAACGTTTGCAGCTGCAAATTAAAAGCCTCCCCTTCTCTCTTTCTTTTGATGACGAGAGAGCATATTCAGCTCGAAAATGAAATTCGTAATTCGGTCACGTTGCAGTCGGACGTTTTAATCAGCCTGACGGAACGCTTGAAATCCGTGAAGGAACGGCTCTTTCTTCTATCGTTTCTGCCCCTCCGCTCTTCCGCCAGGTCTCTTCTCCTCTTTCTGAATTATCTTGCGGTTCCTTGCTCGCGGGGACACAGATTTTCATTTCAGATCTGGCTCCGGTACAGTGCAGAGGAGAAAATAGAAGTCGCTTCCCGTTGATTTCAATCTGTTTGACGGTACTCCGCTCGGTCTTTCTCGCTTCGCGTAGCGTCGCGATGCTCGAGGCCGGCCGCATCGCGTCGCTACCCCGAAGACAACGAGACAAGATCCGCGACGCAGGCATTCGTTATCGTACCACGGCATCTCGTCCCCGACTATTCGATGACGTTCCCCTTTCTTTTTCCTCTTTCTGTCGTGCTTGCTCGTCCTACGTTGACGTTTCCCTCCGTTAGAACATCGACAAGCAATTACGCGAAACTTTGTCGATTCTTCCTGAACGGTCTTCCATCTCCGTTTTCTCCAAACATAGCAAAGTTATCGAATTGGTTCGAGTATTCCAACAATTTGAAAATATTTTCGCCTAGCCTAGATATGAATAAAGAAATGTATCTCTAATAAGAACGTAGTTATGATGACCAAAGAACCACCGTGTATATCTCAAATACCGGGGACTCGTTCTTGGCGAATAACAGCTTGTTTTTCGTTATCCGCTCATCGTATATCGAGCATGGAAGAGACAACAGCGATCTCGTGCCATCAGGCTGTCGTTTATTAAGGCACCGTAAACCCTTGAGCGCTTGAACTCTGTATGTCGAGTTCGCAAGAATTCCCGAGTAATTCTGGAAAGGGAAAAACTTTGCCTTAATTGGACAGCGATGAAACACAAACACGATCGTCTTCGTGAGCCACGGCAATCTTGCGAACATTCCATTTCTCTTCACGTCGAACGATTAGTTAGAAAACACGCAACAGACTCAATTTCATAATGGTGTTTACTTTCGCTTTGGGAACGCAGAATACGTCGCACGTTTAAGCGAAACAAGTTTGGCTGTGTGCATCAAGCTGCAGACAATATTCTACAGTCAAGTTGATGAATGTTTACTGTAAACACACCAACTTACTCCGCGACTCAATCTCGTTACCACCTTTCTGGATTGTTTCTTAGACTATCTCGATGGCAATGAGCTGGATCAGACACCATAAGGGTACCCTTTCTTCCAACTTCCCTGTTTCGATAAACTTTTGTTTCAGTATCGAGAAACTACATAAAATTGTATGAAATTTTAAAAACTAATTTGTAGAGATGG